TTTTATATTTTATTGATTGTTAATAAAATATTTAGTATATAAATCAATAGTATTTTTATGATAATAATAATTATAAATTTTATGTTGAAAACATTCAATATATATTATTTTAATTTAAATTCAACACAACATAATATATTTATTATGTTTTTAATAATTTTGTACACTTTTTAATATACATATATGTTATTTTATTTTCAAAATAAATATATTCATAGGACGCTTTATATATTTACATCAAAAAACTTATTTTTATTTTTTAAAATATGAAATTAAATTTAAATAAAAAAAGGAAAAATACTAGGTTTTATTAAATGTGTCTTAGCTGTAAACAAACTTTTTGTAGTTATGATTTTCTTTATTCCATTGTGGTTTCGATCTCATTTTTTATGCTGTACTCAAAAATGGAAAACTTCATAATTCAAGTTAATATATTTGAAAATAGTTCAAATATTATATTATTATAAATCACATTATTTTGAAATCAAAAGATAATTAAATATATTTTTATCCTTCAACTTCATGTTTTTAAAAATCAAATTGTGATAAATTTTTTCTTTTCAAAAGAACACATTTTATGTTAGTTACATGATGATTTAACATTTGAAACATGATACTGTTAATAAACTTAGTTTCGATATTAAAAAAGTTCACTTCCACTTAAAAGTGGAATGTCTTTAAGAAATAAAATAGTAATAAGATTTCAAACTTTAACAAACGAACATACTTCAAATATATATAATTTTACATTTTACAATTTGAATTTTATCTTATGATACTTGTTATTTATATTATGATATTTATCTATTTATATCACTTTTATAGAACTTTTATCTGTATTTCTATATAGATTATCGGGAAATGTTCAAGTATTTTTTAATCATATTTTTGTGATATTTTAAGTATAATATTTATCAATCATAATTAGTTAATAACTTCGAATATTGGTGCCAATATAATATGGATCTTGTTAAGACATACCAACTCAGTCTATTAATTGTTGAAGAGTATAGCATCATGTTAAGATAGTGTGTCGTCGCAGTTTTGATGATAGTATATTTAATGATTTAGTTAAACTATGTAATGCTGTTCAATTTTATTACCGATGTCATCTGAACAATCTTATTATTTTACCATTAATATAATGAATTTTTATAACTGTTTTTACCATTTAACTTACTTCTTCTGTATATTTTATTACAATTTTACTTTTCATATTTGGATTTTTTATTATTATAGTAATAATAATACTTATTATTATATTATATTTTGTATTATATTTATTATTTTCAATATTATAAAAATAAGGACTTACAAATGCAAGAATATCTATGTTTCTATCTGTATATATAATTAAAATAAAATAACTAATGACAGTAATTTCCAATTTTTTTATTACAAAATACTTATTATGTTAAAAATTGTTAACTATTCACTTATGAGATCTTCATATAATAAAATAAAAAGATGGCTTAATAAGTATTTATTTTGGTCGACTTTGTTCGACAAGGACTTAATTTTTCCGAATGTTCAATGTAATATCTTATATTGTAATTTATGTTTAATTTGTTTGACGATGTTTAAATAGTTATCGGCTAAATGTTCACTTAACAAAAAAAGAGAATGAGTTCTCACGAATCTCGCTACGTAATCATATAACTATTGAACCTGCAAAAAATCCATAATTCTCAAATCGAACATCAATCCTAATTCGTGAAATTACGCTTCTTCAGTAAAAACCTGCAAAATTCCAAATTGCACCACCATTAAACTCGTTCAACCTTCATTGATGACGCAAAACCATCTGCAAGAAGCGAAACTCCTAAATCATTTTCCATTAAATCACAAAAACCTATAGAAATCAAAATCAACCCACAACCTACAGAAATTAGGACTTTTGATTTGGGAAAGATGGTGATGACGTGACAAGATGATGATGTGAGTCGGTCACTACAAGCATTACTGTGTGAGAGCTTGTTCTATTTTTCTTAAGTGAATTCTACACCGTTAACGATTTTAATGTCATTAGAAAAAAAAATCAAATTGAACATAAATTACGAAATTAAAGACTACATTGAACATTCAAATAAAATGAGTCTCACGTGAAACAAAGTTGACGAAAATAGAGACCAACAATGATATTAATATAAAGAGATCATATATTTTGTTATCATATTATTATGTTAAATAGATTTTGTTATCATATAATTATGATATCTTTTTTCAATTTTATTATACTATTTCAAATATTTTCAATTTGATCTCATTAATTTTAAAAATGAGTTAATACAATATAATCTCTCAAATTCAAAGCGATGATTATATTATAATATAGTGTAATGCGTTGTATTGAGATGTTTGAGAAGTGGGTATGTTAGTGAGAAGTGGGTTATGTAGTGATCTTGATGCGACATGACCAGCAGTTACTATAGAAAGCAAAGTGACAGAGTCCACAGACTCATCAACACATTCCGAATCTAAATCTAATGTCACTTCTTCAAATTTTCTCTTCAAGTTTTTTCTGCATAGAATATCACATATATGCTTTCTTATCCATCCATTGCTCAAGTAAAATCGGAATACCTCACACTAGCTGCATTCATGTATCAACGGTAAAAACATTAGTGTTGGCAAGTATCGATTCATAAAATCTCTTGAAGATAATTAATGCTTGTAAATATTTATTATTTATGAATAATAAATATTTTAATATCTGTTTTATAGATAGATGTATCATATTATTTATATTTGTATATATTTTGATTGGTAAAAAATAAAAATAAAAATTTAATTTATATTTTATTAAATTAAATTTAATTAAAATTAAAATTAATTTATATTTTATTATGTTAAATTTGATTAAAATAAAATTTTAATTTGTATTATATTTATATTTTTTAATCATTTTATTTACATTTAATTTTCAAGCTTATAAAACATCAACAAATTTTAAAATATATGCAAGTATTTTACAAGTGAGTATCCGATAAATAATGAAAAAAATAACAAATTGATATTTTTGTTGTGGGTCTCGGACATGTTATCATTTTTACTTGCATGTGATTATGAGTTAAAATTATATTTTCATTAAAATTTAGATTTTAAGTCTAATTCAATTTTATAAAATTATTTATATATTTTAAATTTTTAAATTGATACTAAACTTTTAATTTTCAACATTCTCTTAACATTTTTTATAATAATGAGGGAAATAGAAGTAAATATATCAGATGAAATAAGAGATTTAATGAAAAATAAATTAAATGGCTATGGGGTTTTTAGTGAAATAACACGAATGAAGAAGCAGTGAGCTTATATAATTGTGAGGATGTTAAGATGTGAGAGATAAAAGATCTAAAAATTAAAAGGCAGAGTTTTAAAGTTGGTAATATGCGGTGTGCATGCATATAGAAGGGACATGATCTATATTATTTTTGTGAAGTAAGAATAATGGAATAATATCTTACCGAAAAGGAGAAAGAAATTGAGCCATTGTTGATGTCGGAAATGAAAGCAGAGGTTTTAAGAGATTGATGCGTTGTTATGTTAACAACATAGAATCTCCATTCCCTCGGGACACAACATATTTTAGACATATTCCTCGTTTTAATATCAATAATTCACTCTTCAGTATATTCTTTCTGGTAATATCATTCTACTTGTCTTAATTTAAATGAGGAGGTTTCCAGAACTTGAGTTTATTGCAGAGATTGAAAATTTTAAAACATTCTTAAGAATAGATTTATTTTTATTTATTAATAAAATAATTTATGTTGGAAATCTCACGTCAACAAGGAGATATAATGTCAATTTATAATATGTAAGTACAAATAATACTTTACAAATCTGTTTTATGGGATTGAACGAGGCTTAAAGTTTCCTTCTTAACAATTTATATTAAAATATATTATTATTTTATTTAAAATTTATTTTGAGTCTTTTATTATGTAAAATTATTGATTGAATTATCATAATTAATTTTATTTCATATTTTTTAATGAATAATAATGTCAATTTGTTTAATCTTTAGATATTGTTGATATTAAATAATTTATTATTATGTTTAATTTTTTTTAAAAAAAAAAGTTTATACTGATAACATTATTCTAAATTATCTATTTGAAAATTAAGATTTGTGGAAAATTTTCTTAATTCATTAATTATTAGTTTTAGTATTTATAAAAATTAACAGTCACTCAATATTTTAATTAAATTTTATTTTTAAACATAATTTTGTAAATAATATTAACAGAGTTTTATTAATACTATTTTTTTTTTTGAATTTTTTTCAGAAAGTCTAAAATAAGGAACTTTATCTGTTTGAACTTTAAGTAATTTGTTCATTGCAAGACTATCATTCGATACCATTGTTATGAAAAGGTTAACTTGTTTATTGAAGGAATAAAAATTCCACAAGAATTGTATGCGTAGAAACTCAATATAATGCAATGTGATCCACTGAAAACGTGTGTGGTCATTAGTGATCTGCGTAAGCGATGGAAGTAGAAAGTTTTTTAGGATAGCCAGACAGAGACATGCAGTAATAAGTTTACTCACTTTTTCTGTCTCTTTTGAGCTAATCTTTGAAAAAACTTGCATGAAATTTCGATTCTAATTCTTCATCCATGCATGCATGGAGTATTGTTCAGGCTAACTAAGCATATTCTATATATAGATATTGTTTTCAGTTCCAATGCTTCTCTATAATTACTATGGCATCGAATCTTCTATTCGATATATATATCCTGTTCATCTATTCTCTAAGATCATTCCGTTCTTCCATCACCATTGCATCCTTGTTACGTTCTTTTACAGGGGTAGTAATTTTTATCAACAACTTTTCTGTTTCAAACATCTCAATAACACTGTTATTTTTCTGTCATAGGGTGTCCAACTCAATTTTCTTGCACTGGTTGTGACGAATGGACCAAAAAATGGAGAGCGTTGAGATCAACATTCCAACAAGTACACCTACTAAACCTGAGCTGCATGCCAAAGAATTTGGCTTCAGATTCTGAGTGTGTGGAAATTTTGCAAGGAAGACACAGGCAGAGAAATATTTGCACTAAAAGTTGGGGTAACTGTTCTTCTTGTGTCTTTGTTCGTATTATTTGAAGCCCCATATCAAGTCTTCGGGTCGAATATGATATGGGCTGTTCTCACTGCTATCCTTGTTTTCGAGGACACTGTTGGTATGTTGTACTATCGTGTGGCTATAAATTTTACAGATATATTCATTGTATGACTTGTATCATGTTTAAATGCCACTTTTCATACTGAATTTTGATGGGTACTGGTTGTGAATTGAAAGGAGCAACATTTAATCGAGGATTTAATCGAGCAGTAGGAACCTTGGTGGCTGTATTCTTGGCTGTTGTGGTTGCTGAGACAGCACTGTCGTGTGGTCATGTCGCTGAGCCTATTATCCTTGGCCTTAGCATGTTCATGATCGGTAATTGCAATGACATGTTGTCTAAATTTTCATATAATTAAGAGGAATGTGTATGTAGGGTGTGTTTTAATCATATGATTGATTATGCAGCGGTGATAACATCGTACATGAAAATGTGGGCACCACTTGTGCAGTATGAGTACGGGTTTAGGGTGACACTGTTGACCTATTGCTTGATCGTAGTCTCTGATTATAGAATTGGTAACCCAGTTAGGATTATGATCGATCGCCTGTACTCAATCGCCATTGGAGGAACGATATCTGTGTTGGTGAATGTCTGTATTTTCCCTATATGGGCTGGGGACCAACTGCATAAAGAGTTGGTCAAAAACTTCCATTCAGTAGCAGATTCTCTCGAGGGTAAGCTCCAACAAAACTGGAAAATTAACCAATTAATTAATTCTGAAACTTTGAATCGGAATAGATATATTATTTTAGTTAATTTGCATATAAAAGTTAACAATAAAAAGGTGGTTTTTGTA